TGAGCGCGGGGGGGGGGGAGGGGGATTAATGAGCTGGAGGTGGATTTGGTGAAGTCCTGGTTTCACAGTCCTTCTCCACTCCCCTCTCCTCTATCCAGGAGGATTTTCAGTGGCTGAGCGCCCTGAGAAGGGTGTGTGTGTGTGTATCAGTTACACCGCTGGGGATAAAGGGCTTAATGGTCAGTTTATACAGAATTATTGCTGCAGGGGACAGCAAAGTTAAACAAGAAGGAACCATCTTTAAGGAGCTGCCGATGCCTGGAGAACGCTGAAACTCTCCTCTTTGGAGGCACTTCTGCTGGGAAAGCTGGTATTTTCACTCCTGTTCTTCCCTCTTCATTGCCCAGAAACGGGATCTTTGTCTCTTTAGGGTTAACCTGCTCCTGCTGCTTATTCCCCAGACCAATGTCATTATCCACTGCTGGTGACAAAACACCTTGTTGTTGTGGAGACGTCACAGCTGGAGGTTGCTCCAGTTCCTCAATGAGCTTCTGAGGAGCAAAGCTCACATAGGTTAGAGATGAAGAAATCCTGTCTTATGGCCTCAGCTGATGGAGTCATGTGATTAGAGAGACTCATTTTAAAATTAAGGTAAGCTCCTTGCCTCCAGTTATGGAGAGAAGCTTGCAAATGCCAACCTTAAATGCTCAAACACCAGAAGGCAAATGAAAAGTCTCACTGCTTCATTCCAGGTAAAATTCACCCCTATGCTGATTGTCTAAACAATGCATATGCATCTCTTTAATTCCCCAAATGGGTGTAAGTGATGCCTAGGCCTTAGGGGGAATTTCATCTGCAGTGGACAGGCTATGCAGAGAAGGAGGCAGGGCATAAAGTGAATGAGGCAGGGTCCTGTGGCTCATGGCCTTATCTTTGTACTTGCTATTGCCACAGGGTAAATGTGGAGCACATCTGAAATTACCTTAATTTGAACATATATGGGCCCTCAAGGGCTATGCTCGGTGACTCAGGGTTGTGTAGTGAATGTGCCTGTCAATAGCTGCCTCATTCACTACACTGTCTGTGAGGTTGTGTAGTTGAAGACTTTATTGGAATGCATACATACAAAGGGACAAAGCTAAGGTTGCATACAGACAACCTGAATTCTGGCATTTCTTGACTTTTTGTATGATTCACTTTGCAACTTTAATGTTCTTTTAAAACAGCTGTCACATGGAATTTAGATTGGACTGGATAGCAGCAGAGGTCAGGTTAGCTTTAGTCTTTATCCAGAACTAGCGCTGGCTATGTGAGAAGAGAAAAATCAAGCAGAGATTTGGGTGCAGCTGGGTCTCAGGTTTATGGGGACCTTTAGTTGATGCCTTTAGGCGTGGTATTAAGAGACAGAATTGGGGATTTGCTGAACAGGTCTAAGTTGGCTGGAGGCCTCCAGAGAACTGACGTGCCACTGCCAATGGCTGTAACTCCCCCAGAAAAATCCTCTACTGATAACTTGGTTCTCAGTCATGGATCCTCTCCAACTCCCCCGTCAGCTGGTGGTGAACTAGTGTGAATGGGACTGAATCATTGCCAGCATAGTCACAGAGAATGTGGGGGAGCCTGGATGGGCTCTTCTGAACCTCTCTCTGCTCCGCTTGTTCCAAAGTCCTGCGTGGGAACTCGGGGAGACCTTTTGTTGGGCGTTATGACTTTGGAGACTCTTAATGTGAAGTTCTTCCCCAGACAGAACAATCCTGCTGGCTCCCTTCCCAAGCTGCTGGTGCAGGAAGGTGGCCTGTTGCTGCTCCAGTGTGTCCTGAGCTGACCGGGAATAACTGAGAATCAAGGAGAGAGAGGCTGGAAACCAGCACCTCTGTCTCCTGAGCCCAGGGCCTGGTGCCAAGATGCTGCTCTCTCAGTTTATCTAATTGTAGATATACGCACGGCTCGGCGGAGACAGGCCTCCAATAACAGTCTCCCTGCCCCCGCCCCGAGCTGGAGAGTGCCAGCTGAGATTCTGTGAAGGTCACTCGGCGTCACAATCTGCACCCCTTTCTTCACCCCTGCCCCCCGTTGAGAGCAGGTGTGCCACTGTTACACGTGCTCTTCAGCTGCCAGGACCTGTCCCTCCAATCCCCTGCCTGCAGTGGGGTGCAGTGGGTGGCAGAAAAATGACAGGAAAACTCCAGGGAGCAGGACATGATCTGCCCCAGGCAGTATCAGTGTGGCATAGTGGTGACGCCAACTCAGCTTTCCATTGACGTGCTACATGTCAGTCTTGCCCTGCCTTCTCTGACTCCTCTACTCAACCTCTCCCTGCTCTCTCCAGCTCCTCTTCCCCCTTCATTCTTCCAGCTCCCACCTCTGCTTCTTATCCATCATTCCTTCCCATATCCCCATATCCCATATGCCCCATATCCCAGAGGATGGAGTGTACAGAGACTGTAAGCCACGTATTCACAGTGAGTTTGCCCAGTCCGTGGAACACCCCATCATACCAAACGCAGCCTGTTCCCCTTCCTGTGTCCTGGAGGGAATAAGGACTAGCGGAGGACTGGAAAATCGCCATCTGACTGTGGATTCCCTCGGGGTGCTGCCAGCTTGCTGTGAAGCCACTGGGCCAAAGGAGCAGAATGAGAAGGAGGGCGGGGTTAGGAGAAGACCTTCAAGTCTCCCGGGAGCACCCCTGCTCCATTCCTTCTGTGCTTCAGGTTCCAGCGTAGGTTCTTGTGGACGGCTGGGGTTGTTACATAGCAATATGTGTCCACGGCGTTCTGAATGCTCTCTAGCCGGCGTCCCAATTGCCGTACTTCTTGGTACAGGAAATGCCTGGTCAACTAGGATCCTTAATGGGAAGCTGGCTAGGTCTGTCTTTGGCAAGTGGCTCGTTTGTGGCAAACCTCAAGTCTCTGTCTTTCCTTCCGCAGTCCGAATTCCCGGTGCACCACAGGCTCCAGATGCCTAATCTCTAGGATGCTGGTTTCTTCACTCAGTATGCAAAAGGAATGCACTGGGGAGCCCATGCAAGGCAGCACAGAACAGAGCAGGGCCTTCTGCCTCCACTCCATCCCCCAGCTGCTCCAACACAGGGACAAGAACGCCCCATCAGGATTGCGCTGAGCTCTAGCTGGGAACAGGAGCATTCGCTTTTATTGTGCTGTAGTTTTGCATGAGCGAGGTTCTGTTCAGTGAATGTGTCTGAATATACACAGGGAGGTTTATCTATCTAATCTGTCTTTAAACTGGAGCCTAGGCATGTCTCATCCAATCCCCAACTAGTATGTTAGTTACTTCCTTTGACTGGCACACACATGATAGTGCCACGGCAACAGAAGATGCCTGTGTGTCTAAGGAGGTGGCAGATCCTGGGAGGTGTTATCCTGACCTGGAGGGCGAGGGACTGAGGAGTAGGGCAATTCCTCCCGGGAGGAGTCAGGGCTGGGGGCACATTCCTAGGGCATGCCAGTGCTCTCGGTCACTAGGGGGTGCTGCAAGGGGCGGGATTTATGGCCCTGGTAAGGTTAATACGTAAGTGTGCACAGGACAGATGCCCTGCATGTGTAGCTCTGAGTTGTGTGTGTAGGGTTGTGTGTGAATTGTATCTTCTTGCCTGATGTATGGGAGCAGTGTGGGGCTGGCAGCAGTGGGCATGTGGGTTTATACCAAGTAGGCAATTCCTTTCTCCATTCCCCCCACCCCAGGCAGCCCATTACCCCTTTTTTGGTGCATTGTCGTCTTCTCCCCTTCACAATGGTCTCCTCACACTCCTGGCCTGCAGAGCCTCTTCCCAGCAGCCCCTGGGGTTGTCCTGTGCTCTGGGCTGTCTGCAGAGGGAAGTTTAATTGCTGACGCACTGACAGACTCTTTATAGGACATTTATCTTCAGGGCTTTTATCAGCAGTAAATTTCCCTCCTGTCCTCACTCCCGGTTGACGATGGCTCCGTCCAGCTCCTGCCACTAAGTGCGGTGAGCGCTCCCAGCTGCATCGAGGGCCTGGTGCTCTGGGCTGGACGTGAAACTAACAAAGGGTCAACCTCAAAGGGTCGGGAGAACCCCCAAGGGCAGGGCCTTATGCGAAGCTCTCAGGGCTGCAAACACAGGCTGGCCATGCCTTTGACATGGCCTTCTGCTGCTCCCAGTCCTGGCAGGAGTTGGACCCAAATGGCTCAAGTGTAGCTGGAGTTTTGGGGTCAAGGCTCAGAACAATTCTCACTTGATCCAACTCGGTTCGCCTCTCCCAGTCAGGGATGCCCTGGCAAGAGAAAGCATCTCCAGCTGCAGTGCAGCAATGGCCAACGACAGCAGCCTAAAGGGACCTTAAAATGGACAGAAACAGCCCTGGAAATAGGGTAGAGCTGGGGTGAGGGGTCTACACTAGCCTTCTCCCAGCCTCCAGCACAGGTGGCAAATTGGGGGCATGCCAAGGTATGGCCTGAGTGCATTACACTACGGCTGTTCTCTACTGTTTAGGGCACACAGTGGGCTGGGGGAAACAGAGAGTACGTTAGAGCAACCCTGAGGCTGTCGTACTTTGTTATAATGGAGCTTCCCAGGGGGTAAGTGAGCTGGGCATGATTGTGCTGGTTTTGCAGACATATTAGAGTTGGGGATCTGCGCTGTGTCCCCCCATCTCCACCCCTCATGTGCTGTGACATCACTAGTAGATTCTCCTTGTTCTTTGCCTTCAGATCTTTTGGCTGCTAACCGCTCAAAGCTGTTCCTCGGCCACCGGGGCTTCCCAGATTTCCGCTCCCTGTATCTGGATGAATACCGCGACCGGCTCTTTGTCGGGGGAAAAGATGCACTCTACTCTCTGTGGCTGGATCAGCCCAGCATGGATGCCAAGGAGGTAACACCTAATTTCTCCACACCTGTGTGGGTGAGCAGGGCGGCGCCATTCCACACAGCGCACATAATGCACGTGACACAGGGCTGGGCTGGCGTGGACGGGCCAAGTGTGGTGGCCAAAGACTGGGTCAGGGATCGGGACTGAGGTGCACCAGCAGAGCTGTGGGGTGGCTAGAACTGGAATAAGAGGGGGCATGCAGGTCAGGAGCAGTGGCAGGGATCTTCCAGAAGCACTGGACCTTGGGCAGAGCTCATTAAAGAGGGGCCGGAAACATTACACCCAATGGAATTTGGGTGCATGTATGGGAAGGCATGCAGCCTGCAGGGGTTAGCCTGCAACGAACTGTAATGAGCAGCATGGAAGGACAGGCCTTGCGGCCACACTGCTGGCAATCAATGGAACCCTTAGGATGAATCAGCCCATTCGATGACTGGGCCAAAGGTAAAACCAGTGCAAGTGGGGATGGAAAACAAGAAAGTGGGGACATTGGGGCAGGCAATTCTGAAATGCCATGGCGAGATCCTGGCCCCAGTGAAGCCAATAGAAGCTTTGCCCTTGACTTCAGTGGGCCCAGGATTGCACCCCACCAGTCTTTCAGTCTGCCTTGGAGGCACAGCAGGGTGGTGGCTGGTGGCCCCGCTTTGTGCCTGGGTTTCGATGGATATCCAGGGGGTCTCCTGCCCACATGGGCATCCCCTGCCTCCTGTCACTGTTCTCATTGGTTTAGGTTGGGTCTAGTAGTGTTTAGGGCTGTGGTTTTCCAAAGCGCTCAGCCTTGGCCTAGCTTGGCTTCCGTCAGACTCCATGGTAAAACTCCCTGACGTCAATGTGAGCAGAGGTAGGTCACTTTGGGAAACCCACCCTCAATGCACAGTGATGTGCCAGTTCTTCCCTGACTCTCCCTTTGCTGCCGAGTGCGTGCCCTGCCTCCCATGCTGCAGATTTCCCTATGCTGGGGGTCCCCGAATTCCAGTCTCTGAAATTCCCCAGACTTTACAGCGTGGGCTCATTGCTTTTAATGCGCGATGGATCCCTCTCCCACATGGCTCTGTGGCGCTGCTTCCCTTGATGCTCTGTCCCTACTGAGCTTTGACTGGCGTGTTGGGTTAGATCTCCACAGAGCCCGCTGAGTGTAAGCTGGATCAAAGGGTCTCAGCTGTTCTCCCAGGTTCCCCCCCAGAGGGGAACGGGGGGCTTGTGACCCAGCCCAACCCCATCTCCTCCCCTGGAGCAGATCCTTGGACCATAACCAAAATGTATGCCTCCCCCCTCTGTCCCTGAACCCCCTCTTGAAGACCTGCTGACAGGAGTGTGGTGAGGCCTATCAGCCAGCATGCTCTCCTACACATGGGGGGACTGGAGGAAACCTCCCCATCAGTCAGCGTATGAGTTCCCTTCCCCACTCCTGTAAGAAACAGAGCAAGAGGGAGGGTTCCCAAGGGAAGTCAGTGTAATTGGATCTCATTTCCTCCTCTTCCTGTGAGCCCGGGGCCTGACACACATTGAATTATGAGCCATAGGCGTCTGCCATTGGCAACCCAGCTACGTCCACTGTTTTCAACCATGTTATGAGAATAAATAAATAGCCGCTACCTTATCGTGGTGACTCCCCCACAGCTAAGTGGGCTGAAGGCATTTTTGGACGGAAGCAGGATTGTTTTAACAGCCCAGGGGCCGATGGTCTCTGCTAATAGACATAAAATAATGTCGTTAACTGAGACTCCTGCTCCCACCCTCCCTGTGCCCCACCGGGCTCTCACCTCATGAGTTCTGATCTGTCCCTCTCTCAGCCGATGAGTAGATGAAGTCCTTATTTATTGCCTTGTGTATCTTTATCTCCACTGTAGGGGGACTTATTGCATTCTCCTTTTCGTGCGTATGGCTCTGCACTTCCAGGCCAGGCATGGAGGCTAATGTGACACACTGCAGAGAGACAGGCTGTTCCAGCCCTTTTAGAAGCCAGTTTCACAAGAGAGACTGTTCTCATGAGATTTCCAGCTCCCGTCTGCAGACTGAAGAGTTCTGGATGGCTGGGGTAGTGGGTGGATAATCAGCTGAGCCTTTGGGTGTATGATCCGAATCGAACCCTTCCCTAGGGATGGAAGAGAGCTGGTGCCCACTTGGGAAGTTTGGCTCCCAATTGGATCCACATATGAACTGCCCCGGAGTCCAGGGATGTTTTGGGGGTTCTGTTACAGCTCGCTCTAGGGAGAGATCTGAACTGGGTAGCTGAGGTCCAGGTTTGGGTCTGAACTTCTCTGCAGCCATCAAGAGGTCAAACAAGCCTGGCGTTATGATCAGTGCTGGCGTACTCCTCTGTCTACAGACCCGGGCATCTGGATTCCCTGCTAGGCAGGGCTAACTCCCCTCTACTGTGCTCGAGCTCATCTGCCACATAGAATTACATGGCAGGTCATCAGGCCAGTCTGGACACCCCTGTCCACTCCTGAGGGCTGCATCTGAATCCCTGAGCCCACAGGAAACGGCAGGGTGGGGAGGGAAGATGGCTAGAGACTGCAGAGCAATCCAGGCCCATAGCCCCACATTGAAAGGTGTTGGGTCTTGGCCTGGTAACTGGGCTCCCATTCCCACTTCCCCCTCGGGCGTGTGGGGTTCTCCTAATCCAACAGCTCTCTTTGCCTGTCCTATAGCAGGGCTGTTAGCACAGGGGATTCCTGCCTGAGGACAGTGACCGCAGCAGCTTGGAAACCCTGTCAGGCCAAGCTGAGAGCTGGAGCGGCCCCCACAGCCTTGCCTCGGTGACTGTGTGCAGCAGAGAAGGGAAATTCAGTGTCTCTGTAATGACACAGAGAAAAGGTCAAGGGTTGCCCTCTATCTGAGCGGTGGAGGCACCCACGAGGGTGCCAGCAGGGGGAAGATGCGTCTGCCTCACCCATCAGGCACCCACCTCGTCACACACACATGCTCTCTCTCTGACTCACCAGTACGCGCACATCACTACACACACAGACCCTGCAAGGAAAGACATGCCCCCCCACTCTGACACGCTCCCACCACGCACAAAGCCTCCGTTCGGACGCGTCCAGCCCTTTGCCACAAACACAGGGTTCTGATGCAAACACACAGTCGCAGGCACTCAGAGCAGATGCGGGATTCATACGGTCACGCCTCACCTCAAGATGCTCCTGCTTCACACCTGGGCCCCGCTCACCCACACACCGCAAACCCGTATGTCAGAGACACACATGGACACTTTTCTGAGGCTCAGACAGGCTCTTTCTGGGGTGCAGTATGGCACAGCGGTTAGCAGTGAGACTGGGGAGCTAGGACTCCTGGGTTCTATGCCCAGATCTGTCACTGACTTGCTGTGGGGCTTTTGGCACATGTGTAAAACAGGGGCAGCAGTGCCCTACTTTGGATAACAAGCACGGTGTAAATGGAGACTGCTGTTGTTATTACAGCACTGAATTGTGCTACTGAAGCTCCAAGCCAGGCTAGTATTCCAGGTGGTTTCATTATCCCTTAGCACTCTGGGGGCAGGGCACTAAACTGGGTCTTGAAAAACCTGGCTCTGTTCCCAGCTCTGCCACTGTTCTGCTGGGGGACCTGGGACGAGTCACAGCCCCACCTCGCACCTCAGTTTCCCCACATGTAGACTGGGGAGTAATGAAACTGACTCATCTTTGTAAATCAGTCTTTCAATCTTTTGAGCCCAAGAGATGAAACACATCATGTAAGGGGCTTTCTAAGCGACTTAGCCCTCTCGGTTCAGCTGGTGTCTTTGCTCGCTGTAATTTTGGCTTTATTTGGACAAATAGCAAAAGATAAACCGCGCTGTATGTCTCTAGCTCTAGAGCTGTGGCTGTGAGGGGGTGAGACCACCCCTGGGGGGTCGGGAAGATCAGCAGGGACTCTCATCTAAAAAAATGAATATGTTTCTCATTTATCCAGATTCCTGTGCCAAGCAGCATCAGTGAGGTCACTGTAAGACAAACTTTCAAAGCCCTCGGTGGCTAGGATAACTATCTGCTAGGGTTACAGACAAAGGGTGGAAGAATGATTCTAGTTATGCCAGTGTAAATCTGGGATCCTTCCACTAAAGCCAAGCTTACACTTGTGGAAGTGAAAGTAAATTCTGATCAAAAATTGGGGAAGGGGGGCTGGGACCGCAAAGTTAGAATAGCAGCGGGGGTTGCAGGTCAGGATTGGGGTGCACTGGGGAGGGAACTCTGCCCACTCACTGCCCACTCCTTAATGTTTACGAGCAGTGAGACTCTTCCATCGGCTGTCAGGGAAGATTAAGCTGTGAAGAGCTTTTGTTTCCTAATACACTGCCCCAATCCAGAAATCAAAGCCATCTGGAGGAGGCCAAATGCCCTGGGGTCCTAACATCCCTGATTCTTTTAGGGCGATTGCTTGGAGGAAGTGGATTCCTAAGGGGTTCTGCCCCCAAAATCTTCCCCTCGTCCCAGTTCCCTCCGTCCCCCCTTGCTTGTGTCCCCAGAGTGACTTGGCCTCAGGTTCCTGTCTTCTGTTTCAGATTTACTGGCCACCTCTCCCTGGGCAGAAGGAGGAGTGTTTTCAGAAGGGGAAGGACCCAACGGTAAGTCACCCTGTTCCTCCTAAAATCTCCTGATGGGGTTGCTCTGGATTTCACCTCGGCTCTGTTGACTTCTTTTTCCATGCACTTCTAGCTGTCAAAGAAGGCGATAAAGGGGTTGTTTATGTCTCTCTCTCTTGGCCCCCTTCTCCCATAACACTCCCTCCCATTTCCAGGGATGGAGCTGTCCTGTTCTGGGCCCTTTTCCTGCATCCTTGACTTACCAGCTGTCAAGGCCTATATGCTGAGTGAGCCCCAGCAGATCTCAGCTCCTGCTTGGCCCCTTCTCTAACTGACTCTGCCTGGTCACTATACAATGATCGGACCGCCCTAGCAGGATTCACCTCACCCCTTGTGTGTTATAGCCCTTCTCGTCCTTTCTGAGCGGCTGCGGCTTCGGGGGCGGAGTCACTGTGTTATGTGCCTGACTGCAGACTGTAACAAGCAGTTGACAACTAGGCCTTGTCTTGGGTTTGTGCAGTTGAAGAGGCAGTGTTTGTTTCTATATTCGGGGATGTGGTTCCCCTTCCCATCGGTAGGGGACATGGCTGGGGGATAGTGCATAGAACCTGGATGGTGTAGTCACAGCTCACCGCATGTGACCTCAGACAAGTCGCTTTGCCTTTCTGTGCTCACATTGAGGTTCTTATATGGTCCCTCTCACTGTCACATCTGGGCTCTTCACCAACATTAATGGATTGATCCTCACAAAGCCCCTTCGAGGCGGGGAAAGATTATTCTCCCCATGTTATAGATGGGGAAATGGAGGCACAGAGAGACTAAGTGACTAGCTCAGGGTCACACAAGGAGCCAGGAACTGAACTCAGATCTCCTCAATCCCAGTCTAGGGCTTTAACTACAGAACTGGCAGCAGAACAGTTTGGAACTGTATACGTGGAAAGCAGTTTGCTTAGTGAATGCAGAGTAGAAGCCAGTCTTTGGATGTGTCTACACTGCGGTCGGGAGATCTGATTGCAGCCTGTGTAGATATACCTGAGCTGGCTTTGAGCTTACACATGCTGCAGTCACATTTCCTGACTACAGTGTGGGCACACCGTTTGAACTGGTAGCTTTCCACACCTTCCATACACGCACGCAGACTGCAAATACCATAGCATGAGCTGGGGCATCCTCTGCTGCGGGTAGTTTTGGTGTCTCCCCATCAGAACAGCTGTGCATGAGATGGTGAGTGGTCTTGGCTGGGGAGATGGGGGTGGGGTGTAGTATACTGAACCAGCACAGGGAGCGGACTAAATCTCCTCTCACCCGCTGGCCCTGGGGCGTGATGTGCATTGCATGCTTAAATCTTGATCCAAAGCCCATTGAGGTCAATAGGAGCCTTTCCATTGGCTTCAGTGGCCTTTGGCTCCTGGCCAGAAGGAGCAGTACATGGTCCTTAGTGAGCAACAAGGAGCTGGTGGGCAAGGCTGAATTATTTGCTGGAGGGTGTTTGACAGATTTCAGTTCCCTGACTCTTCCCCCTGCTCCTTACAAATGGTTATTTTAAAACCACGATTTGAGACCATGGAGGGAGCGAGGGGGCAGGAGAACCCCTTGTTGATAGTCCATCCCAAAGTTAATTGCTCCCAGGAGTGGCTGTCACTCAGTTTGGCCTCCACATGTTTATTTTGCAAGCTTTCACCAGCGGATCCAGGCCCTGGGGCGCCCTTTCTCCATTCCCCTAGCCCTTGCTATTTGAGAGACTTTTACCGAGGAAAAATAAACAGCAGAGAGGCTGAGAAACCAACAGTTGGACCACAAAGAGGTTGGCTCAGCATCTGTGTACTCAGCAGAACAGGGAGATCGGGGCTCCTGCCATCTTGGAATGGAGCATGTGGCTGTTAGTTCTGACATTGGCTTCATGGAATTCACCAGCCACTAGCAGCTCCAGATAAGCCAGGCTCATCCGATCTGACTGCTGCTTGTACTGATGGAGTTAAAAATACTTCCATCTTCCCAGTGATGATCATGCTGGGAGTGGATGAGTCAGGTGTTTTGTGTTAAAAATATCAGCATTGCCTTGGATTTGTCGTTTGTGTGGGGTTAACTCTTTCCACTAGCTTCACAGGCAGGCACATCAAAGGCCTGCTACTGCTCCCCTCTTGCGTTTGCCCAGGATTTACACGTGTTTATCCATTTCCCCTGTATTCCCTACTCACCAATCCACAGTTCATGTTTTCTTTTCACTGCTGCAGTTTCCTTATAGTTTTGTTCTTCTCATCAGCTTCTGGCTGCTTTTCTCCCTGTTCGGCAGGGGTTCTGGGGCTGAAACAGAACCCAGTCTAGTCTGGGGTCTGCTGCTGGTAACAAGAAGATGCGAGGCTCTGAAAGGCTGGAGGGTCGGTTCTGAGAATCCCTCAGAGTTTCAGATCCATATCCAAATGATCTGAGGTCTCCCTTCTCTTTCCTTCACCAACCCCATCCTTCTCCTCCCAAAGGCTAATCCTTCAACCCTTTTGCCCTTGTTTTGATTAACCAATACCCTCCCCCCAGCAAGCATGCATTCCAACAGAGAGAGGGGCAACCACAACGGAACCCCAGAACTAGTATGTTATGAAGATACAAGCTGGTTCAGATGAGATTGAAGGATTTCAGCCAAAGTGGCAGTCCCTTATGGGTTTGGGAATGGGCTACTTACTCACATGTAATAGAAGGTTCTGATTGGTTCAGCTGGAGATTAGAACTGAGGTCTCAGCTGGTTCTTGTGTTTTAGAAACTGGCCTACCCATCTCCAGTTGATACACTGTGTGGGCTGTTTTCCTATTGAATAGTGTTCCCAAGCTATTGTCCAGTAGGAATATTGATTTCCAGGTTGTGTTTCTTCATGCTCACAGACTGAATGGGTTCAGAGATGGGTGCATCTTTGTACAAGTTGTTGGATTGTGATACCTTTATTTCCTAAGTTAAAAACAACTATAGGCCAGATCCTCAGCTGATGTAAATCAGCATATCTCTGTTGAACTTGTCAGAGCCGTATGACCATTCCCTTCAGCTGAAGACTGATCAAAGCCTCTTCCAGTGGGTTAGTGCAACAGAAATTCACCAATCAGAACAGGCTAAGGAATGGCAATCAGCCATTAAGAATGAGGAGGATGTGTCAATACATGGTAACCAAGCAGTTAGATATGTGGCTGGGGAATCCTGGTTCCAGTGACATAAATAGGAGTTTTGCCAATGACTTTGATGTGGGTCGGGATCTCACCTGTAGAGTCTCATTCCCTGGACTGCTATGCATCATTGCTTTCTTGCCATCATTTTCTTGATGCTCGTTGATTTGTCTGTCCAGAGGTCTCTAAGCATCCTGAGGACAGAGAAATACAAGCAGGGGACTGTTGGGAGTTACTTACCAGCCAAGTTAGGGTCTTTCTCTCCGGCCCATTGGGTAGCAAGGAAGAGAGGCCTCAAAAACAGGGACGGCGGGAGCAGAACAAGTGACTTTTGTTCTAAATGCTGCTGCTGTTGAGTTTCCACGTCTGCCAGTAGAGCCCTCTTGCCTGAGAGGAGCACGTCGCTCACGCCGACGCAAGGCGAGCAGCTGCAGAGGGCCTCTCTCCAAACGCCGTAATTCAGCCGAAAGAAAACAGAAATTCATCACAGCCGACAGGTTTAGACTGAGTCCTTAGAACGCCTTCTGCACCCGGCAAAGCACTCGGCGGCGCATGCCGCGGGGCTGAGGTGAGAGCTCCAGAGGCAGCCTGCTTTCTTTAAGTGAACATAAACAGTTGTAGGAAAGATACCAGCCTTTAAGTCTGAGGGCCTCTATTTATCCACAGGGTGATCAAACTTCCCCACAAGGCCCCTCAGCCTGAAGGGGGCCAGCCGCAGAGCTGGGAGAGGAGCCTTCATAGCCCGTTTGCCCCATGGCTCCTCTGTCAATTTTGATGGTGGCTCCTGTGAAGTGGACCCCTCCCTGCTAGGAACTGGACTGACCCCACCAACCCATTCCACACAGCTCGCTGAAAAGCCTTCAGATGGGAAGAGGGATCTAGAGGTACAAAGGGTCCACATGCTATTACCCAACCCATCTCCCAGGTTGAGAGGAACATAGACTGGTCTCCTACGATTGCTGAATAACGCAGAATCACAGGAGCTGAATGTATCGCACGGCACCACCTCCACTGAAGGGTGGAAAAGCTGAGGTTTCCAGCATGGGAGTCAGGTGTCCAGCTGTGCTCACAAACATGGGAAAGCAATGCAGCTAAATAGCTGGCATTTGTGATAGCCTGGCCCTAGCACTGGGTCTCAAAGCTTTACAAACCGTGGGGCTGGAGACCTGAAACTCCCAGGCTTAGCCCAGTCTGGATTTGGCCCTATATCAGTATTCTGGTAGGAATCACTTGACTCACCATTGACGCGACTGGCATCCATAGTGCTTTATTCAGTGAGAATTTAAGGCTCGAAGCAGAGATACAGATGGAAACGGACTGTTAGCATTCTTCCAAATTGTATTCTGTTCCTTTAGCAATAAGGAAGTGTCTCTGTCTATTTCCCCAGGACATGCAGGTAGATTTTCTCTCTCTTAAACAAGGTTACTGGAGATGACTTCTTATTTCAGGAAAATATTTTGAATTTCTTTTTAGAAGAATAACCTTTGGTACCTCGCTTCCAGGAGCTAATTCGAACGGAAGCTGTTTTGTCACCAACCCAGCCCCGCTGTCCCAAGGAAATGGCTCACCATGCATAAAACTGATGGCTGAAGGAAATATAATCCCATCCTATTCCTTTTCACTGCATCTGTGATGGCTGCTATCTTGGCTGATATACTAGCGACTGAACTGGGGACCTTGGGAGCTAAAAAGCATAAGCTGCTATAGGTTGAGCTAAAGAGCCCATGCCTTGCAGTTGTGGGCTGTAACAGCTCACATCCTCTGTGGAGTGGCAAAGAGGGGGACTTGTAACATGCTCACCAGTGGGCTACCTGTCCTTCATATAAATATTTCAGGGCTAATCGGGCTGGGCTCACAAATAGAGATGCTGACGGGGCTGCCTCTCCTTTCACTTCCACCCAAGTAAGCTGGGACTGGACGCCAGAATGGCACTGGTGAAGCTGAGCGGAGAACCAGTCTCATTATGGCCTAACTCAGAAATCTGTGCGAGTGTTTGCATTGACTCCAGTGGGCTAGGTTAACACAGCGCCGCTGAACATTTCGGCTCCAGAATGAGGGGTGCAGTATGTGAAGCTGGAGAAAGAGACCGGGAAGGATGACTGATCTCTGCCGTGTAAAGCAGCACAGCTGGTTCCTCCTGTGCCGCGCCGGATGGATAGAGTCTTGGAGCCCGGCAGAGGATGCTCGGACAGTCTCTCTGGTCTCTCCATGCTTATCAGCCAGGAGATCGCTGCTCCGGAAAAGGGAGCAATTAATCCAGGGCAGTCTTGAAAGGCCATTTATCATCCTGCCCCACGTAACTAGCCAGCCTCCCCTTTAAATGACTAATTCATCCAGAAGACTGCTGTGCGTGTCCGTCTGTCTGTCTCCTTCACTTCCTGCCATTGTTCCCCCATTCCCCTTGTCCAGAAAGCAGGAGGAAATGCTGTGCCGACGAAGTCGTGTGTCTGCATCAGGTGGATGGCACCGCCCTTCGGCAGAGGATAAATGGTGCTTTCCAGGCAGTGGCCTGAGAATTTCCTCCCTGAATTTTCAGATCATTCAGCGAGGACAGACAGGTGGATGGAGAACGAGCTGGAAAACTTTCCATGATGCTTTTCAGTCTGTAGCAAAGGGCTTGGCCTCACAGAGGTATGAACTGACCAGCCAGAGCATGCTACAGAGCTTGCTGTTATGGAGTAGGGGGAAGTCTGTTCCCCTCCTTTCATGCTCTTGGCTATTATGCTAGGCTCTGCATTATTCTCTAGTGTAACAGGGTTGCCTACTCCTTTAAGGGCCAGGGGACCTGCCAGCCCTGTTGGATCATCAGACCCAGCTGGGAAGGGGGTCAGGTGATCCCCATAAAATGGCTGAGAAAGCTATAGGAAGCCAGTAGGTTCCTGTGGTGCAGGGAAGGGGAGAGGCCTCTGGGTCCCTGTAGCCTGCTTGGCTTGGGAGTGATTTGTTTCGAGAATAAAGGAAGGAAGGGCTTGGGAGGCTCTGGGAGACTCAGGCTTTCCTGGGCTGGGGAGATAGGCCAGTAGCATGCACCTGCCTACACAGGTCATCCCTCACAGTAAAGCCCATGTGCTGCTATGGAAAATGGTGTCCTGGGGTCATGTGCTGCAGCCATCCCAACAGAGTGGGACGTGTTGCAGGGTGAGTTGCCCAGTCAGTGATCTCTGCATCACCCCGACTCCACAGCACCAGGCGGAGACCCATCCCTGTTCACTACCCCTCCCCAGTAATGAAGCTAGGGAGCAATCCAGCATCACTGATGCCGGAAGGGGGGCACTCAGGCTAAGAACCCAGGGGTGTCCTGAAATGCGGCAGGGGGTATCATGGGATACCTTACCAATAGAGCTGATTTTTGACATGCAGGGACCAGATCTTCAGCCTGGCCAGCTTGGGACAACTCCTGGACTTGTGCTGATTTATACCAGCTGAGCATTGGGTCCACAATCCTGGAGCCTGTACCACCCTCCCAGGCCAGCTGCCCTGGGCATACAGACCCAGGAGCCAGGCTCTTACTCCTGGGTACTGCTGAGCAAGAATGCTGGATTTAGGCCTGTCTCCCTGGGCCCGCCAGCAGAATGTACTGTCTGCTGCTCCGCTGGGCTAATACAGGAAGCCCCCCGCACAAAGCAATAAGAAGACCTCACTTCCTGGCCTGAGATACTACAATGGGCTGGGGGATGACATGAACTCTCTGCAGGGGAAGGAGTCACTTGGACTGGAGTGGCGGGGAATGGGATACGTGCCAAGCAGCCAGGAAGGGGACGAGCGCCAATACAGGAACCTGCCTCTCCAAGCAATGACAGTGCAGTGGCATGGGGATCACGTGACCGCATGATGGGGCGCCTAGGGAAGGAATCATTTGACTTGAGGAGCTGGTGCAGGCATGTGCCCCCTGGGAGTTATATTGTTCTATTAGGCAGGAGCAGGGACCTTGAACCATCTCACTCCCTGCAGTGTGGCAGTAGAACTGTCCTCCTAGCTTCACATCTGTGAGTGAGCACGTATTGCTTCCTGCTCTTGTGCCCAAGAACAAGGGACTGGATTTATGCCGCCTGCCCTGCCCCAGCCGAGGGGGAGCAGCTGGGAAATCCCAGTGTGATGGGAGCTTTCCAAGAGCTGTTAGGATGATTGTGGGGGAGCAGGGAGGAGCTTGGAGCTGTTCTGTTTCATTACTGTAATGCACTGGGACTCATTTGGTTCTTTCCCTTGCTCTGTAGAAACAAAGGGCAAGTGCACAGCTGCAGAAAGCAGCGCCAATATCTTGCGCTGTCAACTCACCGGCCAGCTGTTTCCCAAATAGGGCTGGTTGGAAAGTTTTCACTGAGACTGACTGGCTTCCATGAAATGAGAGAGACTCTTGCTCTATAAGCTGGGGGGTTGTGTGGGAGACCCAGCTTCAAGTCCCTGATTTGGGGTGATGTGGGATGAAGAACTCTGCCCTGAATCAGCAGAGCAGGGAGTTGAACCTGGGTCTGCCACATCTCAGGCCAAGGGCCACGAAACTGCATTGTCGTCCCCTGGTCTGCTCTGTTCACAAGCAGCGTGTCAGCGCACATGCTCACCTGAGGGTCATGTGGCAGTGCCCATGCAGTATTGCCACCTCCACGTGTTCAAAACTCAGAGTCAGCCCCCACAATATCATGCAATTGCCTTAAAAAGCATGAGATGTTTTTAGATTACTACATGTTGGGTGCTTTTTCATATTCTTCTGATTCTTCAGTCGGTATGGGTCACGTTTTCTCTGCAACCAGGAGGGCTAGAAACTGACCTGCTTGTTGAATATTAACCCCATGACTCCAGGAACTGGGGGCTTTAAGAAAAACATCGAATAGGGCAAGATGCCCAAGTGTAGCTTATAGGTATAGCTGTTTGCTAGGGAAGGCATAGGTACAAGTTAAGGCAGTAATGCAATGAGACTGCAAGCCTCAAAGCTTGAAAGACAATAGTTTAGCTAAACCAATCAAGGCCTTAAAAGCCGTAGTATAAGCAGCTAACCAACAGTAACCCTAGATCATAAGATATCACAAGACAGAACACTGTAATGACTAAACTGCTGACAGGTAGCCACAAGATACTAGTCTAGAGCTGCTTGTGGTATCTTAAATTAGGAACATCAACAGATGTCTGACCACAAGAATGTCATGGTAACTAGTTGATGCTTATGCTAATAAGCTTGAGGTAAATGGGCTAGGAACCTATGGCAGAAGGGCACCCAGCATTCATAGGGTAAGGAAATAGATAAGGAAAAGGGGCTGGTACCCCTACTTGAATGCATTAGGCATTGTAGAAGCTGTAACCTGGTCCTGCGTGCCTTGGGAGATGCTAGGAGGACGACAACCATTGGTGATGGTGACAAGGAAGATGCTGCTGCTGAGGAGGAAGATAATGCCTAATATGTCAGGTTGTTCTCAGGGGCTGATGTGAGTCTCTGGATGCTCGGACACTCATTCTGCATTCTTTCTAGCTACCTTGCTGGCTTGGAGTGTTTGTAACTTGGCTAACTGTGGTAATAAAACTATTACAAATACAGAAGGTTTTTCCTGAGTGTGTGTGTTGCAAGCATGCACGTCGGGGTTCCCAGCTTAACAGGGATTCTGACCTTGGGACGAGAACCTGCCAAACCTCAGAGTGTCCACCGGATATTCTTCAGTAATCAACATAAGGAACCCGCAATCAGCCGATCAGGCAACCCAATAAAATCACACGAGTTGGCTACACGGTGTGGGATAGGATGTGGACTAGACAAGCTTATTAAGGTGGTGACTTACGAGGTGTTTATTAATGATCCATTGCAAAGGAAACCGCTGCACCATCGCGCACAGTCAGAGGAACATTACGCTGCTTGGCAAAGAGGAAGGCGTTGCTGAGTCCTTCCCACGCACTGACAGATCCGCTTGATCAAACAGCGCCTCATTCCCCACTGTCTCTCTTCCAGACTGAATGTGCCAACTACGTCCGAGCACTTCACCCCTTCAACCGCACCCACCTGCTGGCCTGTGGGACAGGAGCCTTCCACCCTGTCTGCGCCTTCATTGACGTGGGACATCGTGGCGAGGTAAGGCAGCGCCCCGGGACAGCCAGCATTAGTCCTGCAGAGAGAATCCTGTGGGAGCCCCTGTGATGAGAGCTGGTGCCAGACCTTGACACTGACCACTGGCAAAGAGTGTAGGGAAATCCCAGCACTTAGAGCAGCTGCCCTGGGATTATTGGTGCCGCGTGGCCATGGCAGGAATGTGAGAAGGGCCTTGACTGGAGAATGTTCAGATCTACATGAGAGCTGAGGCCCATCTCTTGGCCTGATCCAGCCTGTGCAATGTCCTGGGAAGGGCCGAAGTGGGGATATGTTCGACTGGGCCATGAGGCTGATTCCAGGTGCGATGCCAGATTCCCCTCCAACCCCAAGTCTGGCCTAACTCCCTTTCCCATTGGGCTTCTTCTCTTTATGCTTCATGGAGGCACAGGCCCCTCAGCACTAGGTACAATGGCAGGGGAGAGAAATGGGGAAGAAGCAGATTGAAAAGGAGCCAGGAATGGGAAGGAAGGAGGAGAAGACAATCCTGAACTGGGGGGAAGCGGGGGAGTGGAGAGTGAGGAAGAGGCAGATGGCTAAAATGGAGCATGAATGGGTGAGCCCTGCAAGGGAGTCGGTGCGTGATACCTGTCCTGCATGGAGCAAACCACCTGCCTGCCAGGGGATGCAGATGCCACCTGCCCTGCTTGTAGCAAACCACCTGGACAGCAGAGGGATGAGCAGATGGCATATGGCCACTCTGCACTGTGGAGGGAATCCGTGCACAGCACAGCACTCCACACGATGCCAGCCTCGTGCCCAGCAAGGGGAGCCATGCAAACAACCCACCACCCGCCCCAGGGAAGACCCAGGAACCTCTGCTGCCCCATGCAGAGTGAGCAGCACATCTCCCTTCCCCACCTCTGATCACGGCTGAATTGCCACATGGATCCACCCACCTTGCTCCCACCCCCTCGCCCTGGCCAGCTGTCTGCATGGCATTTCTTTCCATGCCCAGGACCCCTGCTCTTAATCAGCATGGCCTCCCTATGACCCCCATCTTCCCCATAGGCTTTGAGCCTCTTTTATTGAGTGTGGAGGAGAAAGAGCCCTTTCAGCATAGCCATCTATGGTCTAGAGCTTGGGATGGTCCTGTCCCCGCGTCCCCTCCCGCACAGTCACACCAGGCAGCAGGACACAATTGGGGCCCTGTTCCTGGTGCTGCAGAACCCCTGCGGCCATTCGGCAGGGCCTCAGCATGGCCCTGCTCTGTGGTGTGGCTGAGCTTGGGTGGGGGCATGGAGCCACGGCTGCCTCGCGGAGATCCAGGCTGCATGAAGAGGCTGCTTTGTGCCACCAAGTCAGGGGAGAGGCAGACAGCAGATGCCAAAAGCTGCACAGCATGTCAGCTGTGCAAGGCCGATGGGGTGGGGACAGATCTGCAAGCCTCCCCATTTGCACCAGCCGGGTTATTAAAACTCTCTGTGACCTGGGCTGGAAATCAAAGCTTTCCATACATCACTGTGCCATAGTCAGGGACCCAGGGAGAGAGGTAAATAGGACTCTGGACACCTGAGGTCAGATCCAGACACTCAGCTGGTGTCAATTGGCAGAGTTCCATAGCAGAGCTGGATGCCAGCTGGGGATCTGTCCCTCCGCGTGTGAGCTATTTCAGTCTCCCATGCCCCCAGTGCCAGAGGGCTCAGGGCACGGAGCTGGGCGCACGGCAGGAGGATTTTGTTCTAAAGCAGTAGTTCTCAAACTGTGGGTTGGGACCCCATTTTAATGAGGTCGCCAGGGCTGGCGTTAGACTTGCTGGGGCCCAGGGCCCAAGCCCAAGCCCCACCAGCCTGTGCCAAAGCCCGAGGACTTCAGCTCTGGGTGGCGGGGCTCAGGGTTACAGGCCCCTGGCCTGGGGCTGAAGGGCTTGGGCTGTGGCTTTGGCCCCCCCCCACCTGGGGTGGTGGGGCTTGGGCTTGGGCTTTGGCTCTGCCCCCTCTGCCCAGGGCAGGCTCAGGCTTCAGTCCCCCTTCCTGGGGTCATGTAGTAATTTTTGTTGTCAGAAAGGGGTCATGGTGCAATGAAGTTAGAGAACCTCTGTTCTAAAGGACCGTGGTTTTCTTTTGGTGGAGTTTTCTCTGCATTTATTCTAGACCGATTCTCCCGCTGAGTTGAAGCTGTGCCTTTCCTGTGGCTCTTCCTCACATTTCACTGAAAATGACTAAACTCTAAGGAGGAGAGCCAGAAAGACTTCAGATGCAGAGCCTCCCCCCCCCTCCTCCGTGAAGTGTTGTGGGGAGGAGCACCCCCAGATTCTGGCATATAGTGCTGTCAGATGCCAGCATCCTCTGATGCCATGCAGGGATGTTGGGAGATGTAGAATGCCCAGGCTGCAAGGGCCAAGACCGCTCCTCCAGCTGCCCAGAACTAGACCCATAGGGCCAAATTCAGAGCAGTCATAGTAAATCTGTGCTGGTGGCACACACACCTTATCCCATCCCATCCAGTGTGTATCTTACTCCCACGTAGACAAGCTGCAGGCTCCTAGCCACTGACCACCATGTTATAAGCAACCCCTAGGCATCGCTTCTGGACTGCAGCCGAGATCTCTGACCCAGCTTGTGTTCTAGGCAGCCTGGTGGCATCTCTGTCTCGCCTCACCCTGTATCGTGTGTCCTTCCTCTTCCCAGCACGTGTTCAGCTTGGATCCCATGAGCGTGCAGAATGGGCGGGGCAAGTGTCCGCATGAGCCCAACAGGGCCTTTGCAAGCACCTTCACTGGTAAGTGTCCTGCTGGGTCAGCAAAAGACTCGACCCTCCACAACTGACCATTGCTTAGGGTTGAGCTTCCCTGATAGGAACCCTCGTAACCCTGAGATCTCAGGTCCCTGCTGCTAACGCACAGACTGGAGAGAAATTATTACGGAAGATCATCAGCTGCAGCGGTATTAGGGACAGTGGGGTTCGACAGCTGCCAGTCTGGATGAGACATGGCACTCTTGGTCAGCACAGCTGGGCCTGGAGTAATTTATAACCAGTTAGAAATCTACTTCGGGATTCTTCCCTGGCTAGAGCCAGCTTCTGAAATACACGTTTCCAGTGGCTCCACCTAGAGTCCATTCCAGGTGGGCACAGAAATCCAGATCAGGGTCTTTTTCCTCTCAGGGACTCTAACCTGGGACAGGCCATAGACTTTCCACCGCATATAGATAGCCCAATCCCTTTGCAAGGTTGCTGCCCTCCTTTTCCAAGATGGGTTTGCAGTCCACAAGGCCGTGCTGTAGGGTTTTATTTTCTCTGTGGGGCTGTTTTCCCAGGAGGGGAGCTGTACACAGGCCTCACCGCAGACTTCCTGGGCCGGGACTCGGTGATCTTCCGCAGCATGGGGTCCCGCTCATCTCTACGCACCGAGATGGATCAGCGCCTGCTGAATGGTAAAAGCACATTCTCTGACTTTGCCTGGGGGTGGGGGGCAGGGGCACTTCGGCAAAACCCCTAGAGCTTGAAGTCACGGCTAATTGGTATTAAATGGAGCAAATTGCAGCCACCTTCCTCTTTAATACAACCCCTAGATGCCACCCACCCCACCAGGCAGTGCTCACTGTAGGTCCGTGCAGAAGGCCACAGTATGCATGATTAGGCTGTGGGGGCATTGGTCTGGGAGATGGTGAATAGGAAGGGAGGGTGTGGCTTGGACAGTGGTGAATGGGAGGGGAGGCATGGCAGGAGGCTGCCCAATGGTGAATTGAGGAGGGCAGAACTGACCCATGGTACAATGGCCTGCTAAGATGTGGCCCATATTATGGCAAGTTTGAGAACTCCTATCTGACAGGACTGGCTGTGAGCTTCCTGCTTGCTTCTGCAGCCAGGACATGGAGGTCTACAGGCAGCGGCGCTCGCAGTGGAGTCTCTCCCAGGGCCTGCACAATTTGGAACGGTGCTGGGCTGGATGCTGCCCTTCGTGTTTCTTCCATGTATGCTCTAGCTCTGCTCTGGGCTCTCTCTCACGCAGACCCAAAGTTTGTGGCCGCCTACTTGATCCCAGACAATGACGACCGGGACAATGACAAGGTCTATTTCTTCTTCACGGAGAAGGCGGTGGAGTCGGATGGCAAAGGCCGCGCCATATTCAGCCGCGTTGGGCGAATCTGTGTGGTGAGGTCATGGGAGAGGGATGTGTGCTGACATTGGAGTGACTGTTCTGATGAGTTTTGGGTGGTGGGACCCCCCAGTAGCATTACTGGGTCTTCAGGGGTTAATGGGGGGGCTATGGGGGAATCTCCTCACTCCTATTTGCCCCTATCCTCCTGTAAATAGCTTTGTTCTGAAAACAAATGTTGGGTAAAGTTTCAAAGGTGCCCAATGGGCCAGTCAGAAATTTTCTGGTAAAATGTTTTTCAGTGGAAAATGGGGATTTTGACGTGATGTGATTTTTTCACAGTCTGCTTTCCATGGAAAACCATTTTTCATCAAACTCAACCCTCCAAAGCCAAAATATTTCACTTCAGAAATGCTGCCATGGTCCCTCATGGGAGTTGTAATTCAAGTCCCTTGTGTCCCCATTCTCCTCTATGGACCAGGTGTCTCAGCCAGACTTCATTTCCCATGATTCCCTGCTCCCCCCCCCAACAGGCATGATCATGATGCATCTTGGGAGATGTTGTCTTATTAGGGAACCTGGCCCCTTGAAGAGAATGGAAGGATAAGGCATCTGAACTACAACTCCCATGAGGCATCACAGTGACATTTCAGAATCAAAATGCTTTCATTTACAGCCAAAATATTTCAGGGGTTTGGTTGGTTGGTTGTTTTTTTGCTGAAAATTTGAAATTTTCCACAGAAAAAGGTCCCCATTTGCTAACTAGCTCAGCCACAAAGCAGCAGTGTCTGGAGCACTAGGGTCTGGTTCTGGGCTGCACTTCAGCAGGCTTCAGCCCCTGGGGAGGGTTTGTGACCCCTTTGCACCTTCTGGGTTTTAGACTGCTCCAGAGGCTGAAACAGCCCACATCATAAGTGTGAGCAGCTTTTGGTCATTCTAACCTATGGCTGCCCATCCTAGACTGCCCTTGAGCTATATGCAATCCTGAATGTCTATAGGACTCCATGTTCTGGAGGGGGACAATGTAGGCAGCCCTACACTGGGCCTGGGCTGGGGGAACGCTCCCCTGGTATTAGCAAAATGCTTGGTGCAGACATTTCTGGGTAGATTTGCAAGAGAGCTCAGCTCCCATAACTGTCAGGGCTTTGCCTGGTCCAGCCTCTAAAGTCCAAAGAGCTGGAGTTCACACCACTTCCTGCAGGAGCTGGCTAGATCTCACCACTGAGAAATTTCTTAATGAGAGAAACCAGAATCCTCTCTCCATGGCCCTCATTAGCCTTGAACCTGAACAGCCCTGTGAGGCATGGCTATTATCCCCATTTTACAGATGAGCAACCGAGGCCTAGAGATGAAGTGACTTGCCTAAGGTTGCACGGGAAGTCTGTAGCAGAGCTGGGAACTGAACCCAGGTCTCCTAAATCCCTAACCACCAAAGTGACAGGGCTTGAGCAGCTGATCCAAAGCCCATGGCACCTCCTCCTTGATTTCAATGGACTTTGGCGCTGGCTCTTCCAGACTTAGCTGTGAAATAAAAGCTGCTTTCTCCTTCCGTTTGGATTTCAGGAGTGAGACAACCAAAGTCACCTGTAGTGTTTTCTAAGCACTTCAGTCAAGGCCTCACACTCCATGTCGCCTGGTGCTTGAGTGTCACATAAATCTCTCAAGGCTGCGAATGATTCTTTTCCAGCCAAGGCTAGGAGAATTCTGCTTCGTGACTCTCTTTAATGTGGTTGGCACAAAAATCCCACTGAAGCCTTTGACGAGAAACATGAGGATTGAAGCTGACATTTCAAGTGGAATCTCTCCAGTTTCCCGGCCATTTCTACTTCCCTTTTTCTTTTGTTCTTTATAAATCAGAGACCCTGAGCCTCTTCCTGGCCACCATCTTGCTTCACAGTGATCTCATCCTTCACACCAACCATGATTTTGTCTCACAGATTTCAATTAATTCATCATGCCTCAAATTTAAACTACAATGACTTTAATTGGGTTGGAACAGCAACAGCAAGCCTGGTGAAGGGCCAGATTCTGACATTCCCACTAAGGAATGCCTTACTTGACGAGTTCAATAGGACTGTGTGAATAGGTAGGTCCTGGGTGGCACCATATGGCCCGAGTTGGTGCAGTGAGAATGTCCCTGTTAACTGCAACTAGCCAGAGCCATCCGTGAGGTCATTCTCCACCTATAGCAGCTTGTTTTCCCTGGTGGCTCATCTGTGCTGGTTCTGAATCCCACTCCATCTCAGGTAGCCTGCGTGTTAGAGCTGTGGGCCACTTCGGCACTCTCTTGGACTCTGCCTGGAGTGGACTCCAGACCTGGAGGGCACAGTGAGCCCACACGCCATTGTGACAATTTGGAAAGTTCCACTCACTGCTCTGTGGCATGAAGTCCTGCTCTTCTTTTGATGGACTGTGGCGATTGGTGCAAAAGATTTTGGGTCATCTCTGAGGAGGTCTGGTCACGAGTGGCTGAGAATTAGAGTTGGTTGAGAACTTTCAGACAAACGTGTTTGTTGTTTTTGGAAAATGTCGATTCCTTGAAGCTGTTCACGAGAATCTGCTTTGAAGAGAAACTCCTGATTCAATTTTTTTGTAATTGTTGAAATGTCCCGTTTTTGACCATTTCTAAATGAGAAATTTTATCTTCTGATTTGAAACAACTTTGCATATTGAAATTTTTGTTAATTTATACTAAAAAAAAGTTTAAAGCATTTTAAGAAGGTTGAATTTGAAATGAAATGATCAAAATGAAACATTTTGATTGACCCGCTGTCCTGATCTGAAATTCTTTTTGGATTATCAGTTCATGAAAATTTATGAGATTGTGACCTTTTGTCCTCTTTCAGGACAGGAAACAATTTTGAAGTTTATTCATATTGTGATCCTATGCTCAGTAGAGCTGGTTAGCAATGGTTTTCCCATCCTGTGAGAGTTTGAGATTTTGAGTCTCTTTTTTATACTCGTCTCTTGTTTTGCCTGGTGGCTCAGCTGTGCTGGTTCTGAGTCCCACTCCATCTCAGGTAGCCTGCGTGTCAGAGCTGTGGGCCACTTCCATGTGAGGATTTGCAGATTCCAGCCTGGGTCACAGTTTGCTTAGTCCCTAGGGAATGCAGCTTGTGTTCAGAAAGTGGCAACATTTCACCTCTTGACCTCTCTCTGCCGTCCAGAAATGGTGACTGTTCACAAATTTAACCCTGGTGAAAATCTTCAATTTTCATGGTAAGACTTTTCCCAGCAATCTTTGTTGTGGGGGAGGGGGAAAGGAACAGATTTCTTCCTTGATGGGGGATTAGGATATTTTGGGAGCTGTGTGAAAACTTCCAGGTGGACATTATGGTTTACTTCTTCTGTTGCTGCTGGTGGGAATTGTGCACAGTCCTGCTCTGGATTTGGCAGAAGGAAATAAAAGCTAGAAGATCAGGCGCTTCCAGCCAGGGCCTTCCTACTTGCATATGCAGGGATGAATGCATGTTCCATCTCAGTGGAGGTCCCGTCCCTGAATGCATATTAGCTGTGCGATAGGCTGAGCTGTAACACACATGGAGCATGACCGTGGTCTCCCTCCCGGCCCTCCATATGGATCATTGAAGTTCAACTGTCCCTCCCCCACCCCACTTCTGGAATCGCAGCGTGCTGTTTGGATAGGCTTGCTCGAGTGGTTCAGGGTAAGGAAGATGTCAAGCCATACAGCTCTCTACCCCATGAGGCTGCCCACCTGTTGCATTCACAGCTGTGGTGACATAGCAAAATTAACATATAGATGGATGCATTTCACTGCTACGTGTCAATGGGCCTCGTGGCCACTGGCCTCCATGCAACACCAGGGATGAAGATGGGCCAAACCTGGAACCACTTATCCAAACTCCGGTAGATGGATCTGGATCCAAGCCACCAAGACTTTACCAACGGAGTTTCACAAAACTAAACCCATCCTTGGCTTTGCCAGTCCCTACTGGTAAGTGCTTCTCAGTCCCAGAGACCATTAGCTGAGCTGCCGTCTCCCTGCACTATCCACATACTTGCTTTGGGGTCCGCTCTGTGGGCTGTGATTAGTCTTGTATCCTACCGTGATCAGTGTCAGAAGCACCTTGTTGAAGAGAAGCTGGAATTTCTGAGCTCTCTGCCCTCGCTGGCCCCGGAGGGATGAAATCTGCCCTGCCCTTCCTTTCCAACCCGTTGGAAGTCTGTTAGTAATCAGGGGCCGGAGTGGAGTGTGGGCTCTGAGGAAGGCACCGTGATGGAATTGCTACAACACCTGGAAGGCGGTGGCTCAATTCCTGGCCCTGTCATTCACAAGCACAAGTTAGCAGGCCCCAGAGATCCCGGGGAGGCAAAGAGAAACATCTGTCGGCCGGCAGCATCAGCAGCTGCTTTGGAAGAGCTGTGGACAGCGTGAACTGGAGGAGAGGATGGCAGCTCTCCATCCAAACAGAGCAACGCTGTCGGGTGCGAATTCTCTGCTCCTGCTCTAACCCCAGAAATAAACCCTGAGACACAGGAACAAAGAGGTTATTTATTGGACTGATCAATCCCTGCATGGAGTGGGATTCTTTGTTTGGGCAAGAGGCTGGAGTGGGCACAAGAACTGACTGACTAAGATGCCTTGGACACATGAAAAATACACATGCACGTGTGCAAAAGGTCATCTGCACTGGCTAACAAATTGGCCTAGTGGGTTAGTGCACTGACCTTGCCCTGCAGACCTAGGGCTCAGTGCTGAGCTAACATTCAGTGCAGCTGAGTAAATGTGGGTAAAGTAAATGTGTCTCTGAGCTACGTCTCAGCCTCCTCCAGTGCTAGGGCAGAACTGGCTCCTGGCACAAGTTAGAGGTGCCCCACAGCTGCTCTAACTTATGTCGCTAGACAGACAGTGGATTGTTCCTATCTTAGGTCCTTACAGAACTCCTATTACCATAGTATCTACAACTGGCTACCCCATCTTGGGCCACGAGGGATTCCTGTACTACAGGGGACTCTCCAGCTACCCTCTGAGTGCAGCTTCGAGGCCCCTTTGTATAGCTGGAGTGTCACAAAGAGGATTTAGCTTGGGCCGAGGATTTGACCTTTCGACGTAAACCCAGTTGAGATCACTGGTGACCTTATTTGGTGGCCAATTCTCAGTTTTTCCAGTCATTAGATTGATTGTGCACAGGACAGGCCTGGGGTCAGACTTCCAGGAGGTAAGATTTGCTGGGCAGGACTGAGAGGCATCAGCAGAGCAGTGTGAGAGCCCAGCACTGGAATAGCAGGGGGCGGCAGGTCAGGCTGGAGAGGCATTGGCAGAGCTGTGGGGTGGAGCCAGGGCTGTAATAGCAGGGGGGCTGCAGGGCAGGATTAAAGTGCACTGACAGAATGGTATAGGGTCTTAGGCCAGAATAGCCAGGGCCTGCAGGTAAGGATTGGGGTGTGGGTTCAGTTTGCCCAGTGCTGTGTGACAGGTTCAGAGTTGCTGTGTTAGTGTATCAGCAAAAAGAACAGGAGTACTTGTGGCAACTTAGAGCCTAACAAATTTATTTGAGCATAAGCTTTCATGGGCTAAAACCCACTTCATCGGATTCATGCAGTGGAAAATACAGTAGGAAGATATATATACACATCACCCAGAGTCAGGATTACTAGCCCTGCACTTACATAAACCCCATATGCCCCCGACATACAAAGCTCACCCCTCTGCATGTGCCCAGTGGCAGCATGCGGTCTTGGACAGGGAGCCGGCCCGAGGGATGGCTTGATAGGGGATCCCAGAAACAATCTCAGGGTGCTGCATCAGAGGCCACATGCTGTGCTTGGTGAGGGGAATGTCCATCGGCACAGACCAACGGATAAACTCAGGCCAGGCTGGGATTCATGAGGGGCAAGAAGTCGGAGCAGGGCCTAGAACCTGTATTTTCCACTTCCACACACCAGCCCTTTCCTTAAGCAGCAGGCACTTCCCTTCTAACTCGGCCAAGCAGGCTGGGCAGAGGTGGTTTAATGAATGCCTGGTTCCCTAACAGGGAAAGATCAGAACTCTGGCTGAATGCAAGTTCTGCGCAATGCCCCATTGATGTTCATTTCCCTTTGCATTGGGTATGTTTATAACCATTAATGGAAAGACTCCAGGGAGGGCCAGATTCTGATCTTAACTCTACTTGTGTCAATCCAGAGCTGCTCCATTAAGTAACTCTGGATTTACACCTGTTACCCATAATCTGCTTCTGTTCCTTTCTAGGAAATAGGAAGCTTCTTCCATTGGTGCTGTATCCCCGGTATGTCTCAGCCAAGTGGAGGGGCTATGGAAAGCTTTGGCCTGGAAAAGGAGAAAGGATGGTGTGGGGGTTAAAACGCCAGACTGGGAATTGGCCCATATGGGATCAGTTCCCAGATCTGCCACTGACTCACTGTGTGATCTTGGGCAAGTCACTTAGGGTCACATTTTTCCATCAAACTACATGTTGCTCCATTTCTGGGACCCTGACTTCAGAAGTATGCAGCCAAAGTGATCATTGATTTTGGGTGCTCCATGGATCTCAGCTTGGTCCTCCTTTCCCCCAGGTGTAATGATGCGGTTCTGGCAGGACCCAACTGAGAGTGCCAATTCAGGGGAAATTGCTCAAACAAGGCAGTTACAGCCCTAGGCTGGGGTTTTTCCACCTCTAAGGCAAACCAAACCAGCCAGACAGTGAAGACTTTGGTCTTACCCCACTGGCTAATCACAAGTCACACAAGCAATTCCCTTAGACACTCCAGTTTCCCAGTATCACCACCAGTGCCACTCGATATGGGGACAATGGTTATGAAAACCAATACCCCAGTAAAAGAAAAAAGGTTCTCCTGATCCCATAGGACCAAGCCCCAGACCCAGGTCAATATACAAATCAGATCTTGCCCACAAATCACGCTGTTGCCAATCCTTTAGAATCTAAAATCTAAAGGTTTATTTATAAAAGGAAAAAGATACAGATGAGAGTTAGAATTGGTTAAATGGAATCAATCACATAGAGTAATGGCAAAGTTCTTGGTTCAGGCTTGTAATAGTGATAGAATAAACTGCGGGTTCAAATCAAGTCTCTGGAACATCCCCAGCTGGGATGGGTCATTCAGTCCTTTGTTTAGAGCTTCAGTTTGTAGCAAAGTCCCTCCAGAGGTAAGAAGGAGGATTGAAGACCAGATGGAGGAGAGGCATCAGCCTTTTATAGTCCTTTCCAGGTGTAAGAACACCTCTTTGTCCTTACTGTGGAAAATTACAGCAAAATGGAGTCTGGAGTCACATGGGCCAGTCCCTGCATACTTTGCTGAGTTGCAAGGCATATCTGCCCTCTCTCAATGGGTCAATTGTATAGCTGATGGTCCTTAATGGGCCATCAAGCAGGCTAGGCAGAGCTAACGCCAACTTGTCTGGGATGTCTCCCAGAAGCATAGCATAAGTTTGAAATACAGACAGTTTAGAGCCAATATTTATAACTTCAACTACAAAATTGATACACACATATAGACAGCATAATTATAACCAGTAAACCATAACCTTGTCTTAGACACCCCATTTGACCCCCTTTATACAAGATTTGGTGCCACTACAGGACTTTGGTTGCAACTATGTTCTATATGGTCCCCAAATTAGATCAATAACGTCACATCAGGCAATAGTGGTCTCTTTGGGCCCTGATTATAGTCACTTGATTGATCTGGGGTGGGGGGTCGTTGCTGGGGGTGGAACAGTGTTTCCCTGGCCTGGCATGCAATAATCCCATCTGAGCTGAAGGTCAAGCAGTATCCTCCATCTCCCATTGTCTCCTGTCAAGGTACCATGACCTTGTCCCCTCTGGAGAAACTAGCTTTGTGGCTGCTCATGTGGCTCAAACCTCCTAAACTCATTGTCTCTAAGCTAACCTTTTATCAGGCTGCTTCCAGGTGTGTGCAGTGACGTCCCTTCTCCTTCCAGAATGATGCAGGAGGCCAGCGGGTGCTGGTCAACAAATGGAGCACCTTCAACAAAGCCCGTCTGGTGTGCTCCGTCCCAGGGCCGGATGGGATAGACACCTATTTTGATGAACTGGGTAAGAGGAGCAACTGCTTGGATGCTCTCTGGCTGTGGGGCTCTGGGATCGGGGCCGTCTGATACGTGTGTGGCCAGAGGACTGCTCACTTGGCCACTTGGCAGGGGTGGGTGGAAGGAGAAAGCCCTGAATGTTCAGCCTGTGCTAGAAGTTGGGCGCAAGTGCTCTGCTGAATGGGGATGGGCTGCTGACCTGAGGCCTCTGGGGACAAGAATGGGATCCAGCTGTTTGTTTCTGGGATGCTGTGGAGTCCAGAGATGCTCTCCAGCTTGGCCTTGGCCTCTTTGGGAGAATCTTGGTGGGGGGCTTGCCTCACTCTGTCCCACCCATCCAACCCTCAGCAGGTGGAGATGCGGGGGGAAGAATTATTGATTGGAACTGGCTGGGGAATAGGCTGCTGTATCCCTTGGGACACAACTCTTGACAAGCCAGCAAGATGCTGAAAGCATCAAGGAGTAGATGGGTGGGGTGTGGGGTGCTGTGGAAGTGGGTAGTTTGATATACAGGGTGACCAGCCTTCTCTTCCATAGAGGACATCTTCTTACTGAGGACCAAAGATGGGAAGAGCCCTGAGATCTATGCCCTCTTCAGCACCATCAGGTAACAACTCACAGCTTCTCTCACTTTCTATAATGAACAAAAGGCCTTCTTCTGTCACTCGAAAATTAACATCAGCCATTCCAACACCACCAATCCCCACCCCTTTTCCCCATGCTGCTCAGTATTATTATTGTTTATTATTTACATTGTGGTAGGGTCAAGAGGATCCCAGCCCAGTAGGCTAGGCGCTGAACAGAGTGGCAAAAGAAAGTCCCAGCTCCAAAATGCATATAATCTAAGTGAGAAGAGATAGTTTGTCTAGTAACTATGCAATGGTAGAAGAGGTCACCTGCATAAGAATGATGAATAATGCAAATGCACTGGGTTGGTTTTGGTGTAAATATGTATGAATAGCCGTAGCTCTTGGAGGTCCTACAGATAGATTGTTGTAGTTATGGAACGATAGTAGATACCAAATAGGGTCCTTGGTGCAATGTCTGCATAATCTGAGACTCAAAATGGACAGTGCTGCGCAGATCCATGTACAACAGGCTTCAAGAGGGTGATTTATGTAATTTGGAGCAAGACAGATTCAGTTAAAATATTAATACTTGATGTTTCAAAGCAAATCTTTCAGTCTTTTAAAGCAGTCTTTCTGTAACCTGAAAATGGCAATACCATGCCTCTTGGTCGCTAGGTCTTGGGGTCAGAGATAAGGTTGTTACTGGGATGTCTAATGTGAACATTCCCATGCCTGGATTTGGGTTTGTATAAAGGCACTTGATTTCTTTAGCTCGTTACTTTAATTGACCTTTTCCAGCCTTTGTAATAGCTAGGATTCACTTATTTTAACCTGTAACATTCATGATATTTATTGTTTTGAATGTTTATACTTTTTATGGTGGCTGCCTTAGTTTGAATTCAGCACATTGTCTTCCGGGGATTTATACTGTGATCTGATCACAGTCCCATCTCATTGGGCGGGTTGTTGCCCGTGGATTTGCAGTTCGCTTTTGGATTTGGTGTCTGGTTTGGTAATTTTATCCCTCCTCAATACACCCATCTCTTGCACAGGTCCCCAGCACTGTTAATAGGAAGGGTTTGCTAGCCCTGTGTGTGTGTGGCTAACAATGGATCCTCATCCTGGACCTATTCCTCTCATTTCAGCAACGTCTTCCAAGGCTTTGCCATCTGTGTGTACCACATGGCAGACATCTGGGAAGTTTTCAATGGGCCCTTTGCCCATAAGGATGGCCCGGATCACCAGTGGGCAGCGTATGAGGGCAAGGTGCCCTACCCCAGGCCAGGAGTTGTAAGTGGTTCACACCCTGGTTTTTGAAGGTGTCTGGAGAAGACTCATAAAATGATCCATTATTAACCCCATCTCACTTCACCCTCTGCAAGGGGTGGTGTATTTGCCTTGGCACGAACTTCCCAGCAGTTTTTCCTCCTGGGTCTTTCAGGAATCATCATCAGAATCCGTTTCGGGAGGTGGAACCTACTTTGGGATTTAATTGAGGCAAATGAACTATTCCCAGGCAGAGCAGTGTCTACGACAGGGGAGCGCAAACTTCTTGGCCTGAGGGTTGCATCAGGTTTCATAAATTGTATGGAGGGCCGGTTAGGGGAGGGGGTTGTGGCCCAGCCCCCACCTCCTATCTGCCCTCCTTCCCCCGGACTCCTGCCCCATCCAACTCCCCTGTTCCCTGTCCTCTGACTGCCCCTGGACCCCCACCGCCCCATCCTACCCCTCCTCTCATTCATGACGGCCCCCCAGGGACCCTTGCCCCATTCAACCACCCCTTCTCCCTGTCCCTGACTGCCCCCTGTTGCCTCATCCAACCCCCCCCCTTCCTGACTGCCCCTTCCCGGGACACCTGCCCCCATTCAACCCCGTTTCCCCCCGATCACCATCCACACCCCTGCCTCCTGACCACCACCCCAAACTCCCCTGCCCTCTATCCAACCCCCCCTGCTCCCTGCCCCCTTACCGTGCTGCCTGGAGCACCGCTGGCTGCAGCGCTACAGCCGCACCACCTGGCTGGAGCCGGGCCATGCCGCCGCCACCTTGTAGCACAGAGCACCGGGTCAGGCCGGGCCCTGCAGCTGCGCTGCCCCAGGAGCTCACAGCCCCGCCGCCCAGAGCATTGCGCCGGTGGCGGAGCGAGTGAGCTGAGGCTGCGGGGGAGGGAGGACAGCAGGGGAGGGGCCAGGGGCTAGCCTCCCAGGCCAGGAGCTCAGGGGCCGGATGTGGCCCGTGGACCATAGTTTGCCCACCCCTGGTCTATGACATGTTTTCCCATTCAGTATAACAACCCTTCCTGGGGTCTCACCCCCCACACCGAGCTGGCCTGTGTCTGAGGTTGGACGGGGAGGAGGAGATAACACAGGGGAGCTAATGGGAATGAGCCTTCCACCTTGGCTGTTAACAGGATGGATCTGAGCTTGAGAAGGACGTAGAAACCCAGACAGCATCATGGAGTAGAGATTCCCAAGGTCATTGTTAAGGCTGAGCAGGTGGCTCACAAGTGCTGGGCTGGGGAGGCTGTAGGTGGGTGTCTCCTAGTGTCATGGCACAGGAGTGCAGAGCAGGAATGTCAAGCTGAAATGCTGTCTCTTTTGCCTCGTGCCAGTGTCCCAGTAAAACCACCAACCAGCCCAGCCGGCAGTACGGCTCCACCAAGAACTACCCCGACGAGGTCCTGCACTTCGCCCGTGCTCACCCCCTTATGTATAGACCCGTGTACCCATTGCACCGTCGGCCCATGCTGGTGAAGACCAACCTGCAGCACCGGCTGCGGCAGATCGTGGTGGACCGGGTGGACGCTGAGGATGGGCAGTATGACGTCATGTTTCTCGGGACAGGTGAGCTGGCGCCCACAGGAGAACCTCCAGGGCCTCAGCAAGGCCAGCCATTTCCTGCTAGATCTCCCTTTGGTCCCTTCCCTGGATCTCCACTTCTGGGCCATCCTCCCTGGTCAATTCAGCTGCAGCTCACAGCAGGTCTTTCAAAATACCATGTTGATTATGGTGCCATCAGTCTGTCTACACCAGGCCTGCCAACATTGCTAACCACAGTGGGGCTGAACATTCACTAGCTGTTGGGTATCTGGGTAGAATAGACCAGCTGTCCCAGTTACAGGGTTAGCTGCATCTTTGACCCCTCTTCAGTCTTTCCCAAGTGCTCCCTTTCCAGTGACAGGCCCTATGCCCCCACTTCTCTCAGGCTGGAACCTCATGATCCCCCCACTCTCATTCTGGACCCTCCAACATCAGCACCCTTGCTGACCAACCTTGGTGTCTCTGCAGGTCCAGCTGTCTTTGACACTCGTAATAGCTCTCCCTAAGGGAACTGTGACCAATTGGTGGATGCAGTGACTCTAAGCACCTTCTTCCAAACTTTTATTTATCGATCCATAGGAACATAGCATTCCCAAAGAAAAGGGTTAAAACAACAGAAGGCTTACATGCATACATCTGACTTAACCTTAGCATTTCTCTCAATGCTTGGCCAGGCTAGGGTTGCCAAGTTTGGTTGGATGGATTCCTGAAGGTTTCATCACATGACACAATTTTTAATTAAAGATCAATCTTTTAAGTCCTGGAGACTCCAGGACAATACTGGAGGGTTGGCAACCATAGGCCAGGCCCAGCTGCTCCCAGACACTCACTGCTTCGGGGGGCTGGTTTTCAGTCTGCTTCCCTGCAAATGCTGCCTCTGTTCCCTGCCTCCCCTGAGCTTCAAGGAAGGTGTTCCTTTAAAACCGGGCAGGCCCCTGCTGTATTGATATTGATCTGAAAGACCTAAAGAATTAAAGGTGTTTATAAACTCTGTGATTGTCCAACATTAAAGCAGTAATAGGCGGGTTTGGGATTTATAGGAGAAAGGGGCTGTAGCTGTGCCTACTATGATTGTTTGTGTGAGTCATTGTCCAGCTGGCTGGGAGGGACCCCTTCCAACATCCTAGCAGGGAAAACCAGTGATCGCCTTCTGGTGAGTCCAGGCCCTGACATTCGTGGTGCAGGACAGTTCTCTGGTGCTTGGCCCTGGATGCAAACTGATGGTGAAGAGCTTAGCCTTGTATGCAGGTTGTGTACAAAACAACAGGCGTGTCACAGCAGGAATTGTCTCCATCTGCCCCCACTGCCAGTGATGGCCAGGATGCCAAGGTGAAGGGCTTTTGTCAATGCTCTTGCTCTATTACCATCCAGATGCCGGCTCAGTACTGAAGGTCATAGCCCTTCAGAAAGGAAACTTCGCCGCAGCTGAAGAAGTCATTCTGGAGGAGCTGCAGGTTTTTAAGGTGCGATAAATGGCACATATGTGTGAATGATAGTGGTGTGCAGGCGTTTGTGCGTGTGTGTCTGAGTGTGCCACATATAGGAGTGTGTCTGTGCAATCAGTGACACACACATAGTATGCATATACAATCCATGCAAACTACGTTACCACTTGTGCTGACACGTGTGTGTGACAGTTTCATATGTGGCACCTGCTGCATGAGTAAGCCTGTGTGTGCGACTGTTGTATGTACGGGGTGTGGCATAGTGCCTTCCGTTTGGGTAAGTGTGTGCGCACGTGAGCTGTGTGTGTGACCGTCTCCAGTGCAGGCTGGGGCTGGGATCTCCTCTTACGCTGGCATAGATAAACGAACTCCGTGCTGGGCCAGTGAGGAAAGTGAGAGGAGAATCCAGTCTGATCTGGGTGGGCTTCTGGGGGAAAGGTGTGGGTCCATTCTTCTGGGAAGCTTTAGTTCTTGCTTGTGTGTGAGCCCTCGGGAAGCAGTAAATGCTATACATGATGATGGGGTGGTGCGGGGTGAGCAGGAAGCTGAATAAACCTATAAGGATTGAAGATGCCACAGACAGAATGTGGAGTTTTTGAAGGCGGGGGCGGGTCGTTTCTGTGCCATGTCCTAGCTGAGGGCTGTCTCTTCCTCCCCCAGGCTCCCACACCCATTACCGCCATGGAAATCTCTGTCAAACGAGTGAGTAGTGGCTTCTCGGTGGGACAAATGCAGGGCAGAACCCAGCCTGGCTAGCACGCACACTCGACATAGATGGACACAAAGGGGCTGCGCAGGGAGCAGAGAGACGCTGGGGGCAGATGTGGGTGTGTGTACCAGTATTTAAACTCCAGGAAACCATAACAGCGTCCGGCTTGGACTAGACTGAGCAGGAAGCATCAGTGCATGAAGATTGGCAGATGCCTCATGGTTGTGGCTGCAGCAGCTCTGGGGACCACAGTGTGAGAAGCACAGTGTTAAGCTATCCTGTCTATCGCAGCAGCCAGTGCAGGATGTCTCCACACAATGGGGCTTCCGTCAGATGCCTTGGAAGACCATTCCCCAGCTTAATGGAATCTCTCTTGATATTCATCCTAAAATGTTGGTTGCCCCTCTTGCCACTTCCCTTCTAGTCCCGCCCTCTTTACCCACCCAGTGGAAATTCCTCTCCTTTGGGAGTGTTTATTTCTACCTGGAAACGAACTCTGGAGTTGATGAGCAGGGAGCATCATCCAGCCATGTGTTCTTTGATGGATCTGCCTGGCTGGTTACTAGCCTCCATACACAGCCCTGTTGATACGTTTCCATCCTGCCCTGCCCCCCCGCTGCTCCAGTCCTGCACCCCCATCCCAGAACTACACCAATGCACTTCCCTCCTTCTCTACAGCTTCCAGCCTCTGGCTCCCCATGCAGCTCTGCCAATGCCCTTGCAGCACCCCCCTAGTCTAGGCCTTGCTTTCCTGTGGCGCCTCAGTCTTTGTCTGTAATAACAAACCTTTCTGATCCGGTCCTGAACCCAAAGCAAGCAGAACAGCGCCAGTCTCCAGAGACTAGGCTTATATGGCCCCAGGCAGGCTTTGAACCCTGGCTCCTGCTGGGGAGGGGAGAGTGCCCCAACCCCACTGCTTTGCCCAGCCCCTATTTGCCATGGGATCATCCTGGAGATCTGGGCTCTAGGCAGAGCCCCCCTACTGTTTACCAGCCTGTTCCCATTTACTCCCACAGCAAATGCTCTACGTGGGCTCCCGTGTGGGGGTGGCCCAGGTGAAGCTGCACCAGTGCGAGACCTACGGCACAGCCTGTGCCGAGTGCTGCCTGGCCCGGGACCCATACTGCGCCTGGGACGGCATCTCCTGCACCAGGTACCAAGCGTCAAGCAAGCGCCGGTTCCGCCGCCAGGACATCCGGACCGGGAACCCTATGCACCAGTGTCTGGATCAGAACCTGACCGGTAAGGTGGCCCATGTGCTCCGCCTGTGTCCCAGCCCATGTGTGGCTGAGAGGGGCCAGCTTCCCACTCAGCATCCCAGTGGCTGGGTGCAGATAGGCCTAGAGGGGCCAGCCGGTGGCTAGGCATCCAGAACTCTCCTGCCCACACAGACAGTCCACTGCCTGGGCTGTCCTCCCATGTAGCTGGGATCCTGAGCAGAACAGCACCTTCCTCCAGGTGGTGTTTTTGCCCCAGCGAGCTTTCCATGTATGCTGAGCAGGGAGGTCACTCATGCAGCACCCCAGCCCAGCTCAGACATGCTGCACCCACATCCCAGTCAGAGGCACTGAGCGTGGGCTCTGCGGTCACAAATGAGGATTCTCTTAACCAGCTGTCCCTGTGATGTCGTGCCACATGGTGATGAGAGACAAGCCACCCCTGCCCACAGAGCAAATCCAGCCAAACGTGCCCCGCCAGCACTGCATGGGGTTATCGGGGTCTCTCCAGATGCTCTGGGCCCAAGGCCAGAGGACCTCACCTGAGCGGAGTCAGGGCTGTCCCCTAGGGGTTGGGGTGGGTGGTGGCTGGCACTGGCTGTCCGCTCCATGGGGTGCACCACGTCCCTTGGGCACTGAGCCAATGTCTGTGTTTCAACAGTGGATGATTTCGACAGCGCCGAGGAGAAGGTGGTGTATGGGACGGAGCACAACAGCACCTTCCTGGAGTGCGTCCCCAAGTCGCCCCAGGCCACCATGCAGTGGTTCCTTCAGAGACCCCATGACGAGCGAAGGGATGAGGTGAGGCGTCCTTCCCCCCCCATACCTCCCCCTCCCAGTCTGCCTCCTGTGCTGGAGCACCGCACCCCCATGCCCAGCATGGTGCCCCTTACCCATTGCCAGAAGCTTCCAGTCCAATGAGCAGAGTCTTCCCTGCCCCTCTTCTTGGCCTCCCAGTCGATGAGCTGCCTCTTGCCCGGGGCTCCATGTGCCAGCAGCTGTTGTCTGCCTTCCGCGTTCTCTTACAGTCCGTGCTCGGGGCCGGGAGGCGCTGGAGCGTTGTTTGAGCAGGTTTCTACCATTCTCTACACGCTGAGCAGCTACTTGCTGTCTGACGAGGCAGCCTGCAGGGGCCTCCTCAGTGAATGTTAGATGAGCTCTGGGCCTGGGGCAGGACTCGGCTGATGTTGTGAGAGCAGGTAGAAGATGGCCCCATCAGCAGTGGATTGCAGGGGGTAGGAAGGAGCAGCCGTGCCCAAGGAAAGCAGATGCAGGCAGAGATGCAGGAAAGCTGGTTCCCTCGGCAGGGTAGCCCCATGGAGCTGGCACTGGGGAGCCGACATGGGCGGCAGGTATAATAGGCTGCCGTGGGACGCTGGGCTCGGGCTGCTCCGGCCAGGGCTCGGATCGGTCAGCCAGCTGGGGCTGCTCCGGCCAGGGCTCGGATCGGTCAGCCAGCTGGGGCTGCTCCGCCGGGGCTGGCCTGGAGCTCCTCTGGCAGTGGGGGAGGGGAGGCTCAGGGTTCCAGCTGGCCAGGGGCTTCTTGGACCACGGGATGGGAGGTGGGGGGCTCAGGGCACCAGCTGCGAGGGGCGGGGCCTCGTGCGGAAGGGACGGAGCCGTGGGGCTAGCCTTCCCGAAGGGGGGGGTCCACTGTTCTCTGGGGACTCTCTCGACAAGCCACCCCAAGCAGGGTTTTCTGGCTCCGATTGCCTCCACTGGTGACAATGGCCGGGATATTTTGCAGGCACCCTTTGCTCTGTGTGAGGAGGTGCACACAGCCCCCGGGGCCAGATCATCCTGGGGCTGCCCCGCTGACACATTTGGCCCCTGCTGTCTGATGATCAGCCGCGTCTGGTTCGCTCCAGGCCAGCCGAGGCTCTCGCTCTGCTTCCCCACTGACTTGCATCCCTGAGTTCTTCCCACGTGCGCTCCCTCTCCGCTCCCACCACCTGCCTAGCTCTCCTGCTGGACGTTCCTGAAAGACACTCACCAAGGAGGCGGGATCTCTCTGCCCCAGCTCCCGCTGCAGCTGGCCAGCCAGTGGAAACCTGCCAGCACTGCTGTAATGGAGGAGGGAAGGGTGGGAGGCTGCTTAGAGTGCAAGGCTGGGGGGAATGTCTGGAAGCCATAGAAGCCATCAGATTCCCTTTGACTGGGGCAGGGCGCCAGGGGACCTGTGGTCAGAGCCGGCATGGCGGGAAATGGGATATGGGATCATGAAGGCCAGGAGTTGGAGCTGGCGAGGTGGGATATGGGATCACGTGGCTCGGTGGTCAGAGCCGGCATAGCGGGAAGTAGGATATGAGATTACGTGGCTTTGTGGTCAGAGCCAGCGAGGTGGGAGGTAGGATATGGGATTACGTGGCTCGGTGGTCAGAGCCGGCATCGCGGGAGGTAGGATATGGGATTACAGGGCTTGGTGGGAGGTAGGATATGGGATCACGTGGCTCGGAGGTCAGAGCCGGCATAGCGGGAAGTAGGATATGGGATTACGTGGCTTGGTGGTCAGAGCCAGCGAGGTGGGAGGTAGGATATGGGATTACGTGGCTCGGTGGTCAGAGACAGCGAGGTGGGAGGTAGGATATGGGATTACGTGGCTCGGTGGTCAGAGCTGGCATCGCGGGAGGTAGGATATGGGATTACAGGGCTTGGTGGGAGGTAGGATATGGGATCACGTGGCTTGGCGGTCAGAGCCGGCATGGCGGGAGGTAGGATATGGGATTATGTGGCTTGGTGCGAGGTAGGATATGAGATCACGTGGCTCGGAGGTCAGAGCCGGCATAGCGGGAAGTAGGATATGGGATTACGTGGCTTGGTGGTCAGAGCCAGCGAGGTGGGAGGTAGGATATGGGATTACGTGGCTCGGTGGTCAGAGACAGTGAGGTCAGAGGTAGGATATGGGATCATGTGGCTCGGAGGTCAGAGCCGGCATGGCGGGAGGTAGGATATGGGATTATGTGGCTTGGTGGGAGGTAGGATGTGGGATCAAGTGGCTCGGTGTTCGGAGCTGGCATTGCGGGAGGTATGATATAGGATCACGTGGCTTCATGGTCAGAGCCAGCCCAGCAGTCCCTATGTTCCCACGTTTGATTGCCATGTGGTTGCTTGCAGGTGAAGACGGACGAGCGGATCCTGAAGACGGAGCAGGGGCTGCTGTTCCGGAGGCTGTATCGCCCGGACGCCGGCACCTATTACTGCAAGAGCCTGGAGCATGGCTTCGCCCAGACCGTCACCAAGGTCACGCTGGAGGTGATCGAGAGCCATCAGTTGGAGCACATCTTCCAGCGGGATCACGAGGACGAGTCCCCTCGCCCACCCTGCCTGGTGCCGGAGCCCCGCCTGCCGCCGGGGCACAGGGCCTGGTTCAAGGACATCATGCACCTGATCGGCTACGCCAACCTGCACCAGGTGGAGGAGTACTGTGAGCGGGTGTGGTGCGGTGACCGGCAGCGCCGCAAGGCCAAGCCCCCCAAGAGCAAAAACGCACTTAGTGGCATGGATGCCGGCAAGAAAGGGAGGGCCAAGCTGCACGAGAGGAACCGGATGCCCAGGCAGGCCGTGGCCACATAGAGACCGAAGGGAGGGGGGCGTACATGAGGGGGGAGATGGGAGAGAGGAGGGACCATCCTGGAACAAACCCCTCCCTGAAAGGGACAATCCACCCAGCTAGGAACAGTGTCCATGCTGCCCTAACAATAGGACCTGCCAAGCCAGGAGCTGTCTCGCCACATGGCTGAGTCTGGAGACATTCACCGTTGGAGGCACGGGGCAACTCTTGATTCCAGCACTGGAGACGGCTCGGGGAGCTCCCCCGTCCCACCGGAGCATCCATTTCCCATCCCATCCCAGCATCTCTCCTAGTTGGGGATGTCTTGTTTCCGGCCAGGCTGCAGGTGCCTTGAATGATCACAGTGGGGCTCTCCACAACCCTCAGTGCAGCCCCGGAAGGGCGTGATGTTCCATAGGAGCCTGGCAGGTTGAGGGGTGATGGAGAGGCTGGTAAGCAGGAGCTGGCTACGTCCCTGATGGGAGAGAAGGAAAAGACCACCACACCCGCAGCACTGGGATGTCTTGGTGGATTCGGTGTGGAGCTGGGATAGCCAGGTTGAGTGCCCCGGAGAGAAGAGCTAATTCCTATACACCCAGCTGGGCCCACAACCAGCTGTTCAGTAGGATACCATCTGCCTCCTCTGGCCATCTCCCATGGCACTGTGGGAGTCAGAGGAGGAGGAGTGAGTCTCATCAGAGCTTTGGCCTAGTTATGGACAGAACTGTCACCAGGGTGGAATTGAACGTTATTTGCCTCCCACAGGAACCCTGCTGTCTCCTCCCACCCTGGCACGGGGCAGCAGTCACAAAGGGGGCCCAGCTAGTCACTTTACATGTGGCCTCAGTCAGGCTCTGTCAGGAATGCCCTTGGTTACAGAACACACCTCAACATTCACCTGGCCATGGACTCCCCCTACTGCTTGGTGTCACGGCAACGTTCACCCAGCTGCTCCCCCGCCCGCCCAGCATCGTGGCAACGTTCACCCGGC